GTCCAAGTCAGCGAAGCAGCCTCATCCGGACTGTCTAACTCATAGGTGCACCACCACTCATAGGCGGCTCCTCGAAGCTGGAATGTACTGAAGGAAACCCCGCTCGATCCTGATATACCCATGGTACAGAGAATACGGTAACACTCATCTAGAAATCCCAGAGAATCGTCTGATGCTAGACCACTGAATACAGAAGGCTTGTACTTCTTGAACCTCTCAAGCCTCAACTGCTCATCCTCAGAAGCCGCTGCCCTGTCCTCGGGATGAACTAGCACTGCAGGCGGTACAAGAATAATCTCAAGGACCCGCTCAACATGAACTTGCTGCTCAGGAGTGCGGGCGGCGGGAGTTTGTGCTCCTCCCCCGGCCTGGGATGTGGGTGAGGCAAGGGGAAGTAACCCTGCCTGAGCCAAGGTGGTGTACATGCTCATGAACTGCACCAGACTCTCCTGAAGGGCTGGATTAGTAGTATAAGTAGGCGTATTAGGTGCCTGGACTCCAGCTGGAACTGCGGATGGTACCACGGCGGCAGCTCGCGCATGTGCTCTAGATGCACCACGTGCGCATCCTCGGCCTCTACCCCAGTCCCAACCTCTGACGGCTGCAGTAGGGGGCGCGGGTGCCTGATCATCTCAGGTAGCACGTGTCCTCACCATCTATGAGAGAATAGAAGACAGAAGTTTAGAATTGTGATGTCAAAATATCGCACGACAAGGAAATCAAATGAAGTGGAAATTTTCCTAACAATTACATAGCCTATGAACCTAGCGCTTTGATACTAACTTGTCACAACCACGGGTCACCCTCCGTGAACCATCGTGATGTCACCTAGTCTCAACGACTAGGTAAGCCTAAATTGAGGAAGAAAAACCAAAAATTTGCGGAAGTAAAACAATTTAAAACAGAAATAAAGCAATAGCAGTGTTTGAATGTGTCGCTCGGCATACACCATATTAACTCTCAATACCAATACATAAATCCAAGACCCGGAAACCCATGAATCACAAGCTAAGAAGTACTACATAGCTCTAACTCCAGAATGTCTAAATAGAATAGAAAATACAGAAGAGCTAAATACTAAAGCAGGAATAGAAAGGGACTCCTCGGTCTGCGAACGCGGTAGATGTACCTCGAAGTCGCTAAGCAGTCGCCTCCCTCAAGGATGGTAGGCCTGAGTAGCGGTACCTGGATCTGCACATGAAAAACATGCGCAGAAGGGGCATGAGTACACCACAACGGTACTTAGTAAGTGTCAAGTCTAACCTCGCTCGGATAGTGACGAGGCAGGTTAGGGCCCTAATGAGGTTAAACAAAAATATAAAGTTCAACAGTATGGAATAGGGCAGAATGAATAAGTGCAGCAGGAAAAATAACACAGAATATACAGAACAGCAACAACTACACAGTAACAAGGTAAACACGGAAGAAAGTATAGCTCAGCACCAATAATATCGATCGGGGATCTCCCAGGATACCGTCATGTAGTCCCATACACATATCCGATAAGTCTCCCGGGATACTGTCTAGTAGTCCAACTCATAGTGCGCGGGGATCTAAAGGAATCCCGTTCCGTAGTCCCAAATGTAAATACCCAGTACTGGGGGAATCTACCAGGTAAATTCCCGTAGTTCCATATAAATGTGCAGGGGGATCTACCGGAATCCTACATCTATATTCCCAAAACAAATATACAAGGGAGAGCTACCAGTATCCCACATTCGTAGTCCCAATGTAAATTCACAGCAGTAGCAAGAAAATATTCAGAAATGGAAATTCCATATTAAGGCAATAGTAATTCTAGCCTAGCATGTTGCATAGAGTTCAGATAAACAAGTTGAACAATTAAAGCAAATAAATTACTTAGACATACTTTCCTAAGCTAACAACAGGCTTAATAGTACAAGCAATAAAAGCAGGAAAAGAAACATACTAATCAATACTCAAAGAAAACCGAATTTCCAACAATTCGCACAAGTACGCACTCGTCACATCACGTACAAGGCATGTCAATTACCAATTATATCAATCCTAAGGGGAAGGTCCCCCACACAAGGTTAGACAAGCCACTTACCTCGAACTGGCTCAAAATCAACCCGAGACCACGCGTTTGCCACGAGTACTCGACTCCAAATAGCCCAAATCTATTCAATTCAATTGCATAATGTAAATAATACTTCAAGTAACTGATTCTACAATTAAAGTCTAAGCTAATACGCAAAATTATGTAAAATGACAAAAATGCCCCTCGGGCCCACATCTCGGAATCGGGTAAAATTTATATTTCCAGAAACCTCGCACTCTCACGAGTTCATGCATAGAAAAAGTACCAAAATCGGACCTCAATTTTTCCCTCAAATCATTATTCAAAGGTCTCCAATACCAAGCCCTAGTTTTCCCCAATTTTAACCCTAAATTTCCATGATTTCTAGCTCTAACCCGTGAAATAATAGCATAGGAACGAGTTTTAGGTCCAAATTCCTTACCTCAACGAAGTTCCCTTGAAATCCCTCTTTCAAATCGTCCCAAAAGCTCCCAAGCCGTGATAAAAACGGTGAAATAAACCCCAAAGTCGCGGAACACCTTTTAAAATAATCTGCCCAGCAGTTTACACATCTACGGCCTTGGGATCGCTTCTGCAGTTCGCATGTGCGGAACAAGGGGTCGCATCTGCGACTTACACTTAAGGTCCAATTTCCGCACCTACGATTTCCCGTCCGCAGGTGCGGTACCGCTTCTACGGTTAACTACCAGCATTTGCGGAACCTGCTGTTCCTCCACAACTCTGCTCCTGCGATCGCGTAGCCGCACCTACGGAACCAAAACCGCAAGTGCAGTTATGACAGCACCAGCAACTGAAGCTGCAACTTAAACTCCAAAATTTCCTCCGTCAACCATTCGAATTCATCCCGAGGCCCCCGGGACCTCAACCAAAGGCACAAACAAGTCAAAAAACACTACCCAAACATGTATCAATCCTTAAAACACCTAAAACAACATCGAAACCTCAAATTAACCAATGATTTAAGCCTAAGACCTCCAAATTTTCTCAAAATACGCTTTCGATCAAAAAGTCTAGCAAACTCGTCCAAATGACCTGAAATTTTGCACACACATCACATTCAACACTACGGAACTACTCCAACTTCCGGAACTTCATTCCGACCCTCGAAAACTTCAAAAATTCAACTTTCGGCATTTCAAACCTAAATTTGCTACGGACCTCCAAATCACAATCTGAACACGCTCCTAAGCCCAAAATCACCTAGTAGAGCTAACAGAACCATCGGATTTTCATTCTGAGGTTGTCTTCACATTATTCTGACTACGGTCAACTTTCCAACACTTAAGCTCTCATTTAGGGACTAAATGTCCCAAAACTCTCCGAAACTCAAAACCGAACATCCCAGCAAATAAAAATAGCAGAAATAAGCTTGGAGAAAGTAGTTAATAGGGGATCGGGGCATGAATTCTTAAGACGACTGGATGGGTCGCAAATAGATAGTTATTCGAAAAGCATGCCTCTAAAATAGCACATTGCATCTGAAACAACCTACATATTTGAATTCCAAGGTCACCTAGAAATCATGCTTATAGGGCTTAATGACTTTAACTTGTCTAAATTCTAAAACTATCAAACGCCTAATTTGTTTGCGTGCTTTTGTTGTCTAAGTGTGGAGGCTAACTTGATCCCTTAACTGCTTTTATATAAAGTCCAACTTGTTTTGTATGTCACCTAGTTTTCTCATTTTGAGCAACCTAAGTTAAGTCTAGAACCACCCAAAATAGAGGTCCAAACGCCTCCTGGACTATAGGTATGGGACGGGTAGTGCACGCATAAGGTACGGTTTAGAATCAATTAGTAAGCCTTAGGTAACAACTTAAAGACAGTAATCGGGTAGCAGGAGATGATAGTTTGTGCTCTCTGAATAATACGAGTAACACCCCATCTTNCCCATATTGTCTTCAAATCAATTGCTTGTGTTTATTTAAAATCTTTTAATAATGAATTTTTGCTTTCTTTGTTTTTCTGACTAATTCATAAAATTCGAGTTCGGCTAGGACCCATAGCTGTGGACCTCGAAGAGTGCCTAACACCATCTCTTCGAGGTAATTTGAGCCTTTACCCGACCTTTGGTGACGCAAACTGGTTAAACCTGAGTTATTTGCAAATAGGTGCCCTAACGCACCTCAAACCCGTTAGGTGGTGACTTTCTCTTTTAACACCTTCCTTAAAAGAGTTGTCACATGTCGAAACCCGATTTTGCGAGAAAAAGGGGCACGATATGAGGTATTCATTGTATATAAAGCACTTAGATTGCCAGCCCACTATGAAGAGCTATCCATGATTTTTGTGGTGGAAAATAATGCTACGACATTAGTGCCTTATATGAGCCCCATAGATCCTCTTGAATGAGCTTTGATTGGGGATGAAGAAGATAGTGAAGATGAAATAATGGGAGAAATTGAGCAATTACTTGACATGTCTTGCAGTTATGTCCATGGGTTTGGAAAATTTGAGGAGTTGGACAGGCCTGTCACTCTGACTCCTCCTAAGCCATCTATTGAAAAAGCTCCAAAGCTAGAAATTAAACCCCTTCTAGTGCATCTGTGCTATGCTTATTTGGGGAACTATGAGACATTGCAAGTGATTATCTCATCCAGATTGACTAATATACAAGAAGAAAAATTGCTCAGAGCATTTCGCGAGCATAAAAAGGCTATTGGGTGGGCAATTGTTGACATCAAGGGAATTAGTCCATCGTTTTGCATGCATAAAATCTTCTTGGAAGATGGACACCGCCCCAGTGTTGACCAGCAAAGGAGGTTAAATCCCATTATGAAGGAGGTCATGAAGAAGGAAGTAATTAAGTGGCTCGATACAGATATCATCTTTCCTATCTCTGACAGTAACTGGTAAGCTCGGTTCAATGTGTGCCTAAAAAGGGGGGATGACTATGGTTGAGAATGAGAAAAATGAGCTAATTCCTACTTGAATTGTGATGGGGTGGAGAGTTTGCATTGATTATAGAAGACTCAACAAATCAACCCGCAAGGACCACTTCCCACTTTCATTCATTGACCAAATGTTGGACAGATTAGCGAGGCATGAATATTATTGCTTCCTTGATGGTTATTCGGAATACAATCAGATTGTCATATGCCTAGAGGATCAGGAGAAGAACACTTTTACTTGTCCTTATGGCACTTTCGCCTTCAAGCACATGCTATTTGGATGTAATGCACCAGCCACTTTCCGGAGATGCATGATGGTTATTTTCACCGATATGGTGGAAAAATTTGTAGAAGTCTTTATGGATGATTTTCAGTCTTTGGGTCTTCTTATGATGACTATTTGAAGAATTTGAGCAAGTTGTTAGCCCGTTGTGAAAAAACAAATCTGGTATTGAATTGGAAAAAATGCCTTTATGGTGCAGAAAGGCATCGTGTTGGGTCACAGAGTGTCTAGGAGCGGCATTGAAGTTGATAAGGCGAAGGTGGAGGTGGTTGAAAAATTACCTCCACCTATTTTTATGAAGGGTGTCCAGAGTTTCTTGGGATACGTGGGATTCTATCGGCGCTTTCTTAAGGATTTTTCCAAAATTGCTACTCATTTGTACAGGTTGCTTGGAAAGATGTAACTTTCAGTTTTGATGATGCCTGCCTCAAGGCATTTGAAGAGCTCAAAAAGAAGTTGGTGGTTGCTCCCATTATTGCGGCACCGGATTGGTCCTTACCATTTAAACTTATGTGTGATGCAAGTGACCATGCTATTAGGGCAGTGCTAGGCTAGAGGAAAGACAAGGTATTTTATTTCATCTACTATGTGAGTAACACTCTTAATGATGCACAATTGAATTACACTACCACTAAAAAGGAGTTGTTAACCGTTGTGTGGGCCTTTGAGAAATTTCGAGCATACTTGGTGGGAACAAAAGTCATAGTCCATACCGATCATGCAACAATCAGGTATCTATTTACAAAAAAAGAATCCAAGGCTAGATTAATGCACTAGGTCTTGTTATTATAGGAATTTGATGTAGAATTATGAGATCGAAAGGGCACAGAGAACTAAGTATCTAACCATCTATCAAGTCTAGAAAATCATGACCACATGGAGGAGGGTGGAAAAATTAAAGAGGCATTTCCTGATGAGCAACTTTTTTCTATTACCTAAGACCCTCCCCCATGGTACGCAGACTATGAGAATTATCTTGTGAGTGGGGTACTTTCTCCTGAAATTGAAGGTGAAGCTAGAAAGAGGTTTTACATGATGTGAACTTCTACTATTAGGATGAGCCATATTTGTACAAGCAGTGTGTTGATCAGTTGATGAGGAGATGCATTCCAGAAAAGGAGGTAGAATTAGTGTTATATGATTGTCATGCATCACCTTATGGGGGCCATTATGGAGGCGATAGAACAGCTGCAAAGGTACTACAATCCGGGTTTTTTTGGCCAACATTATTCAAGGATGATCATGTATTTGTTAAGAAGTGTGACCAGCATCAGAGAATAGGAACAATCATAAGGAGGCATGAGATGCCTTTGAATAACATTCTGGAGGTTGAGATTTTTTGTGTGTGGGGGATAGATTTTATGGGACCATTCCCTTTGTCCAGAGGAAATAAATACATCTTGCTAGCAGTTGACTATGTGTCAAAATGGGTAGGGGCGACCACATTGCCAACAAATGATGCCATGGTGGTAGCTGCATTTGTGAAAAAGAACATATTTTTGAGGTTTGAGACTCCACGTGCCTTGATTAGTGATGAAGGGACACATTTTTCAATCGGTTATTGAATAACCTTCTTTCGAAATATAGAGTCCGACATAAAGTTGCTACAACATATCATCCTCAAACAGGTGGACAAGTTGAGGTGTCTAACAGAGAAATAAAGCAAATCTTAGAGAAGACGGTGAGTGTGAATAGGAAGGATTTGGCTGCAAAGTTAGATAATGCCTTGTGGGCATATAGAACTGCATACAAAATGCCAATTGGGGCGTCGCCGTATAAGCTTGTTTATGGGAAGGCATGTCACTTGTCTGTTGAACTTGAACACAAAGCGTACTAGGCCATTAAAAAGTTGAATATGGACCTTGAAGCCGCGGGTGAGAAAAGACTCTTGCAGTTGAATGAGTTAGATGAGTTTAGATTGCACTCTTACGAAAATGCTAAGCTTTACAAAGAGAAAACGAAAAGATGGCACGACAAATGTATCAAGCCACATCACTTCAAGCCAGGCCAATAGGTATTATATTCAATTCTAGGCTCAAGTTATTTCCTGAGAAGTTAAACGAGATGACCAGGCCCATTTGAGGTGGTGAGAGTCACTCCTTATGGTGCAATTGAGTTGCGTGCTTTAAATGGTGATAGGAATTTTTAGTGAATGGACATAGAGTCAAGCACTATTGGGGAAGAATAATTGATCGTGAGAAGACCAAAGTTGCACTCGTTGATGGGTAAGCGAGGCTTTGCGTCGTGTTGCGACGTTAAATAAAGCACTTATTGGGAGGCAACCCAGCTTTACTATTTTTTTTTATTTATATTATAATATTTTTGTACTGTCTATTTTTCTTTTGTAGGATTATAATAATAGGAAGCAAAGCCAATGGAAGGGTGCAAAAAGCGAGCTAGATGGTTGAAACTAAGTGTGAGATGCCCACACAAAGGATCATTACTGGGAGAAGTCTGAGTATCCCATGAGATGCTAATACTTCGGCCTTTGTCCTATCAAGGAGTCTCTTTTACCTTCTTGTTATTTATCGTATGCATTGGGGACATTGCAAATTTTAAGTGTGGGGTGAGAAGATTATCTGGGTGATTTTCTGTGCTATCTTAGCTTAGTTGTAATACTCGTTCTTAGAGTAGTAGTTTTTGTTTTTAAAAAACCAGGAAATTAGGACTTTTTCCGACGATGAATCTCTTAGACAGTTTTCTTGAGGGATTTAAGTCGAAAGAAAAAGGACAAAAATATTTTCTTCGTAGGTAGTGTAGCAATTACTCTTGGCTTTTCTTTGTGCTGCAGTTCTTTTCCAAGAGTTTTGTTTGAACTGGGTGTAGTTAGTTTTTTGTTTTTAGGAGTAGTAGCTATTGTATTGTGATTGGAATTGAAGTAGTATCTCTTGACTTTGTTATGACTTGAGAATAGTGAGTACTTTGGTTGTGACGTTTATACTCAGTTTTTGACTCTTGTATAAGTACCTTAAATTGTATGATCTTAACTTTGCTTAACTGCTTTGACTAGAGTATCTTGATGAGTCCAATCCTGAGTGAGTTGTGTGCCATGTGTGTGTGACGTTTGTGTGTTATTCTGTGCATTTCATTTTATGTCTTGAACTTGCCCCGTATGTTTGTAAAGCAAATTAGTAGTTTCAGTCAGTCTAGAAAGTGATATAGGCATTTCTTTGCTGAGCCAGTTATATGCATTTACCCCCTAATTGTTATGTATCGTAGTTAACCCCTTTGAGCCTGTAATCATATTTCTTTGGCAACCATATTACAAATCTTACCCATTTGTTTGAATTAACCATCTGTTTGAACCTTTTCACCTCTCAAGAGCACTTGGAATTGTTATGAACTTTGTAAAAGTTAAAGTGTGGGTGGTTGATTTGGCTTTTGAATGGAACTAATGAAATAAGGAGAAAGGTGCACTGCTTTAAAAAAGTAAGAGTCACTTGAATTGAAAGAGAAAAGAAAGAAAAATAGTTGTATTATTGTAAACAATATTCCTTGAAAGTGGTAACTCTTGATGTAAATATGCTTAAAGAAATAGGGAGTTGATGTATATTGATGTGAAGGTGGAATTATGGTTTGACATAAGTGTGGGATTTTAAATGTTAAAGTGTATGTATTAAAGTGATTAGGGAGGTGTAGTAACTCTTATATCTAAATGTATCATACCCGTCCCGCAACCTACATTACAACCAATTAAAGTCCTACTTGATCTTAGACTGAATGAGCTCGATTAGTAGAGCAGTACACTACGAGCAAGCCTATGGTGCATCTTTTGTGGCATATGAATGTTGTTTGCGAGAGTGAGAGCATTCTTTCTATCTTGCATTCGTAATTGTTCTTAAATTTTATTGAGTGTGGAACTACTCTCTTTTATTGTGTGAGGGCATTTGATTCATAAAGTAAAGGTAATGCTTGACCTCTATGTTAGAGTAAGTGAGCGGGTTGTGAAAAACGTGTGGTGCTTGTGAGTCAAATCTTGAGGTGATGATGTTACACTATTGTGCTTAGTCTATTTTAAATATTGTTGGTGTAATGATTAGGAGGATTGTATAAAAATATTGTGTCTATATAAAGTGTAGTTTGATTGCTCGAGAACGAGCAATGGTTTAAGTGTGGGGTGTTGATGGTAGGCTATAATTGCATATGTTAGTCGCTTATCGCACTCTAATTTACTGCACTTTTATTTTGTTTGAGCTTTAATCGCTAGCGTTTTGCACTTATTGTGTGTTTTATACCTTGTAGGAGCGATTCTGAGTTATGTAGATGTTGTGAAACTAATTCAAGCTATGTGGAGCTTTGAAGTCTGAGTAAAAGCCCAAGGGATGAAGCCAGGATCATGTTCGGGGGTCGAGGATCAATTCTGGACGTCAAAATTCAAGGAAGATGCAAAAGCTGAAGAAATGCACTAGTGCGAGGCACTGTACGAGGCATTGTGTGACGCATTAGTACAAAGTTTTGTTAGAAATCTCTAAAGTTCAGAGACTGGATTTTTTGTGGTCTGACAGGAAAAAGCATTAGTGCGACGCACAGTGCGACGCATTGGGCGACGCACAGTGAGGGGCATGAAAAGCAATAAGTTTGCAAGTTTTCCTATTTCGGCTAGGAAAAGGAGATTTTGTCTTAGTCCGACCCTACTTGGTATAAATACATGAAAAATGTTATTTTCTGAACTTTGGACGCACTTTAGACCTAGAGACACACGAGGAACATCAGGGAGCAAGGATATCTCAGATTTCTTCATACTTTCTTAGTATTTACAATTATCCAATACTTATGAATTTGCTACGTACTATCATGAGTGGCTAAAACCCATAGTTCTGGGGTTGTAATTTAGCCATGAATATTGTAGTTTAACATTGACTTAACCTTGATTATAATTCACCAATATATGGTTGTTTCTTTAATTCAATGATTAATTGCTTAATTGTCTGGCCAGCAGTTAGGTTCTGTTTACTATCTATGTTATGCTTGGTAAAGTCATATTTAGATTAGAGAAGAATTGAAGAGAGCACGATTTTAACTCTAAGGGGGGCGTATTTGTGGTTAGGATAAGAATATACCTAGTCACCATGCTTAATTAAATATCGTAATCTTAATGCGTTCTTAATAGATTGATTTCATAGGAATATAGGCGTTAATCTATTTTGAATAGGTAAGTAGTATTTCGGGAGAAGTCTATGAGAGCAATTGTTCGATTAATTAGCAACCATGAGTGAATTGTATGAAAGGAAGAGTTAACTAGAACACAATAGAATTGGTGAATCGATCTCAACCCTGGAATATTTGTCTCTACTGAATACACAACAACTATTTTGTTGCTTGATAATTTAGTTACTACTTAGAATTATAGTTTAGTAGAATTAAACTGGTGAACTCGAATTGGCTCGACTGAATAACAATCTTGGTGAATTTAGTGGGTAGTTGATACAAGTCTCTGTGGATTCGACACTCGACTTATTATTTTATTACTTGTACAACTATGTATACTTGCGTATGCGTTTGGGAGCAATAGATTTGCCTAGGGTGTCACATCCTTTCAATTTATTGTGTTCTAAATTAATAATTTGTATATATTCATTGGATTTCTTAATACAAATACAAGGTTTAAACTAAAGCTACTAAGTTTGATCGAGCCCGCGACAAACATTGTGGGTCTGCCCTTGACCAGAAGCCACATGTTGTAACTTTTGTACCGGTATAATTATTATATGGACATTATCTTGTATGAAATAAATTATTAAATAAGTATATATGATTCAAGGGCAGATCTACTAAGGCCCGTGGGGGTAGTACGGCACCCGCAAGTTTTGGTCGAAACCTTAACTATATATGATGTATTAGTAGCATGTTATCTAAAGATAAAATCTGATTAAAGTAGACAATAAGGTAACCTTTACAAAATAATCCTTGTAGTTGTATTAATCATATAACAATGCCTACATTATTAATCATTGGCAATTCATTCTCTATATTCATATGTAACTAAATTATAAACAAAGCGACTCTTTAAAAGGCATACATTGAGTTTCACCATAGTTGGATAAATAGCACAGGTTAGCCAGTTTTCGGATTGGTAATTGAAAAATAGCTAACATTTGCAAAGTCATTGAAATATAGCCACTATTTTTCTGAAATACGGAAAGTTTCAGCATAAGATGTTGAATTATGGAGCTCCTGCATGTAAACTCTAGCATATTATGTTGGAACTCCAGCACACGAAACGTTTCAGTATAATATGCTGGACATTGGAGCTTCTGTGTATAAACTTCAAGGATATTATGTTGGGACTGCACCATATTATGAAATTCCAACACATTATGCTGGAATTTTATATGTAAAAAATTCGAACTCCAGCATATTATGCTGGAATTTTTGCGGATTTTTAAGGGTGTTTGTTTAGATTTTATCTATACATGGAAAAAGTGGATAAATTTTGATTACTTTTGAAATGGTGACTATTTTTCAATTATTGATTATAAATATGGCTACATTTTTATGGCCTATCTAAAATTGGGGCTTTTTGCCTAACCCATGTCATTCGGCTGTCGAAGTCATGGAGTTCGGTTGGGCTGGCCTCTGGGCGACATAGGTTTTGGGGGGGAATTCAAAAATAGCCAGATTTACAACTGGACGTTCAAAAATAGCCCAGTTTCAAAAGTAATCAAAATTTAGCCACTTTTCATGTAAAAATAAATCTGAACGAAAATACTGTTCAAAACCCGAAAAATACGCCAATATATTATACTGGAGTTCCAGCATAATTATGCTTGAACTCCAGCATATTATACAGGAGTTCCAGGATAAGTATGTTGGAACTTCAGCATAATATGATGGAGT